TTTTCTCGCTTTATGGAGTGCATGGAAGGAGGTGATTCGTGTCACGTGGGAAGTCAGTGGATGGCACGTGCCAATGACATCAACTTCCAGAAACATCTTTTCCGGGTTTAAAGCTTCGAACCGCTTCGCGGTTCTTCTGGTATTTGCAAGGTTTGGTGCTGAGGTGCAAGCAGAGTGGCAACAGACATGGTTCTCTATCAGCTGAGTTTCTGAATCTTATGCTTAGATTCTTCCACTCTCTGCTTCCTTTTAACCTTTTTTTTATATGTCAAGTTCTATCTTTGAGCAACATTGTTTTTATAGGCCAAGATTCTGATATTTATGCCTTTTGGTTGATTCATACTCTGTTAATTCTGTGAGCTCGGTGATGTTTAGGATGTGGAATTGTTGATCTAGTTTCTGGTTGTGTTACTTTGAGGTTTATAAACTGTGTTTACTTGGAAGTTGCAATATTGTTTATTGTATTAAATCATTTCTGGATATGATCAAACCTTACAGTATTACTCTACGATCTGATGCTTAATTTTGCGGTTGTTTAGTTTAGGGATTCTTCCATTCCTACTCTTTATTCTGTGATTTGAGCAGCGGATGGATCATGCTTTAATCCCTTCTTTAGCCATGTATCACTAGGTTCAGTTTGGTGGGTAGGTTGGGGGCGGAGATTTCGCTTTTGGGGATGAACAAGAGAGAGGTCAGTTCTGAGGTCTTGTATTGGATGTTAGAGAATAAATCTACTTTAATAGAATTTACTTTAATCTTTTAAGTTTATTAAAATTCGTTGTTGACTGATTACTATAGAGCATTTTATCAAATACAAAAAAAAATTATTGGAGGGGTAGAATTACAAAATTTTACAAAAAGTAAAAATATATTATAAAATTTTAAAATTTTTGAGAGGACGGGATGTATGGTTAAAATGTTTTATTGCATTAGCCGGGTTTCTGTCCTCTAAAAATTTTAAAATTTTATAATATATTTTTATTTTTCTTAGAATTATATAGTACGAATAATTTTTCTATTTGGTGAGATGATTACACAGTAATTAGTCAATAAGTAATTTTAGTTGACATAAAACTTATCGTGGTAAAATTATTTCTCAAGCTCTATTGCCCTAAGACCCCACAATCGACCCACCACTTTTTGCTGTTGAAATCTTAGTTCTGCCATTTGATGGGGTGGTGCGGTGCTATGTCGTGGGGGTGTTATATTAGAGGTTGGTTGTGTTGAACTAGATGAAGGTATTATGCTGATTTCAGAACGTGTGTTTCAACTTTTCAGGAAAATTATATATTGATAGTTTTCATGTATTTTTCTTAGATGAAGACTAAAATACAAGGAATTTCCTCCAAGTAAAACATATTGCAATAGAATTATTTTTCAAGCTTCATTGCCCCAAGACCCCATGACCGACTCACTTCTTGTTCACCGTCCAAAGTAAAATCTTGGTTGTGCCACTGAATGGGGCAATGCAATGTTGAGCTGTGGGGCCATTATATTAGAGGTTGGTTGTTTTGAACTAGATGATGGTATTATGCTGAGGTCAGAACATGTGTTCGGACTCTTGAGGAAAATTATATATTGATAGTGTTCTTGTATTTTTCTTAGCTGAAGACTAAAATACAAGGAATATTCTCCACTTCTCATATATCAAGCACGCACAACCTTAATGGTAATCTATCGCTGGTTGAAATATATGGAACTTACATGCGTTAGGTTACCACGGTTTTGTGTTTTAAGAAAAAGCACCTTCACAGTTTTTGTCCTCTGATCTTGTTTGGGAAAGGGGTAAGTGCTCACTTATAAGCCATAATCCTTGACCATCCACCCAATAGAGAGTGGATTGTGCTTTCTTTGAGGGCTATCATGAGTTTCTTACATATAGTGTCATTTTTCGAATTGGAGTTGGTATATAGGAAGTGGAGGACATTATTTATATTTTAATCGGGAAGAAAATATTTCCATATTTGGTAATGGAGAGAGTGTAACTTTCTGTTTGCAAAGGGAAAGTTACAACTTTTTCTGATTATAACGAATAGAAATCCTGTCCTTTTTGTTCCCTGTTTCCATTTTCACATTAAGCGTCTTGACTTTGAATTGAATGATAAAACATTAGTTAACGGTGAAATAAAGTAATTGAATTGTTTTGCTTTTAAAAACACTTATACTTTTAATTACACAATTTTTAAATAAAAATAAAATTAAGTATTAGATTTATTTTCTGTTGGGTATCGCCTTTTTTCGGTTTGTCTGGTTTTTCTTTTCACTATCCAATCTTTCAATGTCTGTAAAGTTTTTTCTCTTTAGCTTTTGAGGTTTGTTCAATTTTATATTTATCAAAAGTATCTAGAAAAACTTCCAAAAGGCTGAATGATTAGATTGTGAAAAGAAAAGTAACAGAAAATGACAACAGTCGATAGAAAAGAAAACCTAATGTTTGATTTTATTTTTGTTTAAGGGTTGTGTAATTAAAATTTGTTTTAAGTATTTTCAAAAGCAAAATGACATCAGTTACTTTGTTTCATCATTAGCTAATGTTTTATCATGAAATGAAAAATTAGAACGCTTGGTATAAAAATAGAAAAAATAATTAAAAGTTAATGTGTAAAAATGGAAACGAGGCGCAAAAAGTGGTAGGGAATTTGCATTCGATTATAACCTTTGCTTTTCTAAGCTAAATTCCAGATGATGTTTATATTATATATCATTTGGGTCTTTCACATCAGTTCACATGGCTTAGGCTCATCAATTTAGACCTTATTTGGCATTGCTTTACGGCCAGATCTTCAAAAGTTGTTCTGGGTAACCATTGCAATACTAAAGAGGTCCTCAGTCTTGAATTGAAACTGCCTTTTAAGTTAGAAAGGTGGTTTTTTATTCACTCCATTTATAAGGCGGAACCAGGCTTTAAAAATCTAAGAGACAAACTGGAGACATTCCAGTGATCGAAGACGAGCCAAGACAAGTATGTGGTATCATTTATTGCTTTTTGTCCTTTGTTTCTTTTTGCCTCTTTCTTGCTCTTCCCATGTATTACGATTAACCCTTTAGTCTGTTATTCTTGATGCCTATATTCAACCATGGTGGCTTTTTATGGTCAACAGTTTCTTGGACAGTGCCTAAGAGGCTGCGGAAAAGGTCTTGCATCTTCAATATTCCATGACAAGTGTTATCTACATGGTCTTCTCGCCTCTGGAACAGATCAATTAAGGACTAAAACTGAAACCCCAAACAAAGTTCAATCAGTGGTTGTGACGAGCAATAGTTCCATAGTCTTCATTATGTGCATCAGTTGGTATTTTATCAGTTTCGTAAGATTGTATAGTCTTTTACTAGCAAGCAGTAACTTAGGAAAGAGGATGACCTTATTACTGTATTTGATAGCCTACTACTTGATGATGGAAATTGGTTAATAGAGTTCTCTATCTTCTGCATTTCAAATGATCACTGTTTTATTTGAGCTAAGTTGCATGTATTTTCTCGTTGGAAGAGTTGGGTTTTGAGATCTGAAAAGCCCAATAACATGTACTACAAGCCCTTAACGAGCGTTACAAAATGGGATGGACGTAGCCCAAACTGAACTCTCTCCATCACTCAGTTCAAGCCTTTCGAAAGTGCAACCTTGTTTCTTGGGCCCAATCAAATCCTCCTTCCCCGGACTGTTGTCTACTGGGGTAGAAATAGAATCAAACAATAAATCAGAACATGTACTCAAATTTTGGAGATTCTATTATGTACCTTTCAGTGTTAAATTACGATTCCGTTGTAGTTTTATACAACAGAAAAGCAACTTATATTCTTCTATAGCTGCTAAGCTCCGCCAATCATTTTCCACTGAGAATAAAAGAATCGTATTCTCTCAACTGCTCTTAATTGACAAGGAAATAAGAAATGAAATATATTCCCTATGGATTTGCTGTCAGATTGACCATGTACATTTTGTTTACCACTTCAAAACGAATATCGAGTTTCCACAACTAATTTGATAAATTCATTGATTTGATCTCAATTTACGAACATAACCTTTACTTTAATTTGATAAATTTTTTAATCAAAAAATAACTTTCTCGTACAATTACAGTGACGTATCATTATCAAAATAAATATTATGAAATATTATTTCACAAATTATTCTTTATAGAAAGTCTTCATCATTGAATTAATAATTATATATAAAAAAAAACATTCATATTTGTTTTTATTTTTCCTTGAGGGCTTCTCCGCATCATTTGCATATTTGGTATAGTATTTAATTAATAAACTAACTTCAAGCTTTCACGGGGCTTCTGATTTGTACGGAACTCCTTTCTTACAAAGTGCTCATCATAGCTACTTGAGGAATTTTGTTTGGTTTTTGGGGAAAAAAAAAAAGGATTTTGTGATGATGGAAGTTACCATGAAGCCTCTTGGAGTTGGATTTGGACTATATCATTAAGCAAAGAATTCTCTTGACAATAACAATGTCCCAATGAAAGAGATTTTGAATAAAGTGGATTAGCACAATGCCATGGATGGTCTGAATTTGATTAGTTTGACTAACCAAAAGGGCTTTTCATTTTGATTGGTTGGGGGGTTTGGTGGTCCCAAAAATCACGTTAATTCCAATTGTTTATTAACAATAAAAGCATATTACCACCATTGTAGGGGAGTCTAATTTGGCTGTCGTCAACTAATTAATTGAGTTCTTAATCTTTTGAACCAAAGTCAAATCCCTTTTCCATCTTGCTTCAACCACTCCGTCATCAAATCAAGAAGATCCACTCCTAAGCTTCTAGATGAAGGTTGTGCTTAATTTGTGAGGAACCAACTTCATCCCTAACCCGGGCCTCTGTCGGTTCATGTGGAAAAAGGGTGGAGAAAAAAGGTAGATAAAAGAGAAAAAGGTTGCCTTCCACCGGCCAAGGCAGACAGTCCAGTAAAAAGAACTTATACTAATTCTACAAGGAGAATAATAACACCATTCCTTCTTGCCATGGGCTTTCCCTCTAGTAACTTTTTTATGCTGAGACCTTTTTGTTCTCTCACTCATCTCAAGAACATGAATCATTGTTAACATGAAGATGTTGAAAAGTTGCTTAGTAGAGTACCGAGGCTTTGTCTTGCCTTTTGAGAGTTAACCCAGACCGCAGAGAGGGAAAGTAGACCAAGCAAACTTAACGGTGACAATTCGAACTTTTTTCCACAGTGGAAATAGACATCATATATCCTTCTCGAGCAATTAAGATACAGACATCATCCATGCGTGAGCTTTGTTGCATCACATCGAGCACTTTTGCCAGCCATAGACCCAGATTACCCATCATATAACATAAACTGTGATTCTGTGAAACAGTTCAGAGGTTCTTCGGAGTGCTACGTGGCACTCCGAAGCCTCTTCAATGCCTTTTGTTTTCGATACCGTCGCAAGATCAAAGGAAAAAACGAAAAGAGTTGAACAAAAAATATACCAAAACACAAAAGAGAGGAGAAATTAGTTTAAAAAAATTCAAATTTTTATTATAAAAAACGATCACATCTGGATTATTTTCAATGATATCAAATCAAATAATATAATGTTGTATTTTATATTATTAATAACTAACTTTACCAACAACTACCAATAAATTTATTTTTGTCTTATCTGGTTCCAATTTCTTACATTATTCTTTCCGTCCAACATAATTTAAATTATAAATCTTCCTATCAATTAAGACAAAAATGTAAAAATAATCAAATAATTTTTACAAACTAACATAATAATCCAAATTAAGACAATATTTTTCACCGGCGTAGGAAGGGGGCATTCCTCTCTAGTCTTGTAGTGTCACATTGATTGGCCATCTGCTTTAGTCTTTGCAACATTTAATGGACAATGACAGCATGAAAATTAAACTTTGTTCCTATCCCACTTCGTCATTTAATGCAGATATAATTTATCTATTTAATTAAGCCACGTGCTTACTTTAAATAATAAGACGTGTCGAAACCATTGGCATAAGTTTCCTCTTTGTCTGTGCGTTTTCATGAGGCAAATGATAGATACGACACTTTAAAAAAATAAATAAATATTTAATTTTATTTATATTTAACGTCAGAGGAAACCCATGGGCAAGGGTTAGCTCAGGGTTGCTTTTTCGAAGATGTCCCATGAATAATCAACTGAGATGAGGAAAAAGCTACATGCTGGCATTGCGGACACTTTGATCATCTTTATCTTTTTTTGATACTAGAACTAAAGTTAACGTCAAAAGAAAAAGAGATAACCATAAACAAAAGTTTAAACTAAAGGTACAAACTTTAGACAACCAGAATACTAAGTAGGTACTGCTTTGCAATGCTTTGCCTGATAACATGTGCCAAAAGAGGGTCACATTTCTCAAAACATATTCAAAAATATTAAATATGATTTTTTATTTGAGTAATGAGGATTTTCATTGTATTATTTGATATATATATATATATATAGATATACACCTTTATTATTAATTAAGATCAATTACTCAAGTTTCAAATATGGTTAACATTTGTTTAATAAAAAATTCATGAATTGTTTTAAAAATATTATTATTATTATAAAGAGTTAAATTAAATATACTCTCACCTCTAATGAAATGTTTATTTTTAGATGCACTTTGTGATGATTCACAATAGAAAATTTACATGCGACAAGGATAAAAGCGAAAAGTTGGGAAATCAAAAAGTATCATTTCCTTTTCCTCATAAAAAGGAATAATTTTTTTTTAAAAAAAAAGGTCAATAAAGGAAGTCAGCACATTTCATCGCTTTTCTTTTCCAAAGAAAATATGAGGATCTGAAGTTTGGTGAGCCCCACTCAAAAGAACCCCTGCTGCTAAGTAAACGTCCTAAACAAAAGCTTCTTGCATCAGGTATTGACTTGAAATCATCCACTGAGCTCATGCTCTTGACATGATACTGACCAAACTTTTCCTATTGGTCAAAATTCTGAGATATGCGGTCCCATGTCGAAACGTGGCCCAAAAGTAGAGGGTGACATTGTATTTTCAAATTACCCCCTTTAAAAGCACCTTCCTTCGTGAGTCGCTCCCCTTGCGTAGAATCTGTTTTTATACTATCACTTTTCTCCCTTTTTTTTATTTTAGATAATAGTCCCCCAAACGTCCGTTAACCGTACGGACAAGATCCACTCTTTATTTAAAAAATATTTATTAATAAATTAAAAAATACGGTATATAAATAATCTTCTACGATGGAGCCCACTATAACTCTACTAACTCTATAGGAATCGTCGCATCAGCGCCCCCTCTTACTGGTTACAGAGAAAATAATGAATTTTGTTTTTTTTCCCTTTATTTTGTCGTTTTGTTGATTGCTTTTCAAATAGTGCTCAACTTAGCACTGATGAATGACACGTGTCGAGGAAGGGTCATTGTACTCTACTTCAGCTCTGAGTCTATTAATGTTCAGTGGATTTTCGTGCAAAACAAAACGAGGAAGGCGAGAGCCTGAGACCGCTCCAGGGGATTGGCCATTGGGCGGTGAGGTCGACCGTCGTTTTTGCAAAAAATGGCGTGAATGAGGTGGTGGGTCCCGGTTTTGGTCGCCTGCTGCCGTTTTCGCCTCGGCAGATATGTCCCCGATAGAGTGACGTATATGGTTTTCTCCTTTGTTGCATTGACTGTTTTGCCCTTGAACTTAATATGCAATGTTAAACAAAGTTTTTGATAAAGTATTAATACAATAGGAGTAATTAGAAAGAATTAATTAATAACCAATGAGCCATATTTAATTAGTTTTTACAAGTGATTTAGGTTAATGCATAATGAGTTTGAATTAGGCGTCATGGATGAATTGTATTAAATGGTTTGAAATGTATGCACATAATGCAAGCTCTCAAGATAAAGATTATATTATTTTTTATTTAAGAAAAACAATTATGTCATTTTCTCATTCAAAGACCATTAGATTATTAGACTCTTTATTACTTCTTTTCAAAAATATTATTTTTTGTCTTGTCATAAAGTAATGAAAAGGTACACAATTAGGTAAGGTAAAATATTTCGTATCTTACATTTGTAAGATATAAAATGAGTAATGAATTTATAAATAAGAGTTTTATTTTACTTAACCAATATGTATTTTTAATTAAAAATTGGACCTCTGACATATGTATAATAAGTATCATGGACACCAAATATGTTCATTGTATTGCCTTTTATAGGACAGTTTTGAACTTTCATAATATTAGTAAAATAAATTTTTTTTATAAATATACATAAGTACTTTTAATTAGTAAGTATCATGAAATTACAAGTATGTTTAATTATCTATTACATTTTATATAGAATTTTTGTTCATACATGAATTTTATTTTATTATATTCAAAAATTTAATTCTATTTAGTTGTCAATGCAAGTATTTAATCAATTAATTGAATTTATGAATCTTTACTTTCACTAGTAATATTTGATGCATAAGAGATA